ACGTGGTGCAGATAACCTGTTGCCCCATTTTAGAAAGCCAATATGCTAAAAGACAAAGGCATTCCTTGTTGAGAACTGGCATCCTCATACACCTGGAGGAGGTAAACACATACCCCATGTTAACATTCTTCTGTTTTCAGAACTAAAATCAAAAGAAGAGAACACTTGTATGAATTATTTAAAACTATGATCAAATTTCTGGGAACTACACACCAGCCAAATAACATCAAAACATTCTATCCTATGCAATCCAACTATAAACTTTTTCAACCTTTTTTTTCCCAAAAAAAATCCGTTTAAGAACTTTTCACCTTGGTATGTTTCATGAATTTGTACAATACATAATACAACATCTTATGTAGTGGATTTCAAGTTGGCTTATAGTTGCTTAAGTTACAATTCAAGATTTAACTTAGAGCTCAATTTCACCACTGCCACAGTTCTCAGGTTATCTTTGCCAGAGAGAGAACATTCCAGTCATTGTTCTTAATGGATTGTCTGCTGCCAACTAATAACTACTTAAGTTACTAGGTATCATTAGGGGGAATCTCTTTCAGGAATTCCTGGGAACTAAGAAGATGTATATAATCAAATATCTGGCATTTCTGAATCCAATTTTGGGAATACTTTTAATATTCCTTGCAAGTAAAACAAAATAGCACATGACAGTTTCCCATTTTACAAAGTTCATAAAGGACCATACTTCTGACAATGAGAAAACATCCATATTGCCAAGACTTTTACTCTAAACCACGAAACTTAATTCTTCCTACTGAAGAATGGGGCAGGTTTGGGGGCAATATAAAATATCTGGCTTTTAAAAACTTGGCTAGATATGTTCTATTAATTCAAGAGCAAATTTTAATGCAAATGATTTGTATCAACTATCAAACAATAGAGTTGTATTGTTTGCTTTTAATATTTTTAACAATTATATTTTGTAGTCTTTTTATTTAAATTATTTTATTAAGGTAATGTTGATTTACAACACTGAATCTCCCTTAGGAGTGTAGGTTCATGTTCATACTTCTTCAAATGTATGTTGTTACACCACACCAACACCAGAACAGCCACAGACCTCCACCATAGTATACCCAAGTCCCCAGCTATCCTGCCTTCTTTACTTCTTACTCCCCACCCTACATCTCAGCTCTACACTCAGATTTTTAGGGGTTGTAATGGCTTGTTTTTTTTTTTCTGTTCCTTTCCTTTATTTCTCTATATTCCATATGAGTGAGATCATCCACTATTTGTCTTTCTTAGAGCATTCTAATTAATGTTGATGTTATGATGATGTCTGTCATCACCTGTAATGGACAGTCATAGATCCATAGGTATAGGAAAAGCCAAGGAAAGTCAAATCTGGCTTAACAGTACATAACAATACTGATAAAGATCTTATCCCCTAAACTAGATCCTTTCCTACTCACTGTTCTCTCCTACAAATCACCTAAACGAAGGATTCAAATTACATGTTTTTGGCAAATATATGGGATATTGCTTGAGTATGGCAATTTTATGCTTCTAAGGTTTGCTGAAAGGTCCAACTAGTCCCCTGAACTCAAAGTTATTAATTAAAACACCAAGGAAAAATAACTGACAACCAAATCCCTAAAAACTTTGTAGTGACTTGCCAGTTTTTTGAACTTAGAAAAAAGTTTGGAACGCTAAAAACAATCAGGACTTTTTAAAAAGTGCTGATTGCTACTTGGAAGCATTAGCTTTCAAAACAATTATTACCTTGAAAATGAGAGTCTAATATGAAGCTAATCACATTCACAAGTGGAACCTATGTGAATACCTAAAAGTAGTAGAATCTATATCCAATAATCAAATATCCTTATGAACATCAACTGACCCCGTGTTTCTTTGGCTTTTGCAATAGCTACCTAGTTAGACTTTTAGAAAACATTTTTAAAATCTTAAATATTTTATTAAAAAGAAAATATCTTGACTCTCCAACAGTTTCATTTCTCATATTGAACAAAAAACTGCTTAAGAAGATAATTCATCAATCTTTGCGATTCAGTAGCAAAATGTTCTATTATCCTGGAACCAAAATAAACATTTCATCTTCTGAGATCAAAAGGTCTTCTGAAGACTACTCTTCCTGTGAAATGTTCTACAATTATAAAAGTTAGGAAGATTAACTCTGATTATAAACATAAAGAATTTTAGATCAGCCCTCTTTCTTTTATTTACATGAAAGTTAAAAATGAAAAGTTTATGTGCTCAAATACAACCATTTTGTGACCAAATTCCCTGAGGATTGTTTCCCAAATTTTTAAATCAGATGCTAGTTAACACTGAGAAATGATTATCTGGTAAAGGAGGATTAACTTGCTTCCCAAATGCATGTAATTATTTTTCTGTCAACTTGGATTATATCAAATGTCAATCAATCCTTCATAAAGTATTCACTTTTGTATTGTAGCTGACATCCGGTGATGAATAAAAATAAAATAATTACTATGCTTTTAGTTTGAGTACAAATTATAATTTTAGTTTACAAAATTATATAAACAAATGTATAGTTAAGTTCATCCCATGCCAGATACACATACGACTAGACAGATAGGCCCTGCCCTCTCCAAGTTTTATGGGTTTTGTTTTTATGCCTCATACTTTGAAGTTTAATTTGTGTTTCATTTGTCATAAAACTCTCAAATACTCATATATTTGAAAATATTTTCAAAGCTAGCTTCTGAGTTTTTGTCTTGGATGACTAAATATCCCTCCCTCTAAGAGGGAACAAAATAAAAAGAACAGGATGCAAAAAAGTTCAATAAACAAACTTTCTCAAAATATTATAATTTTAAATTCCCAATATTCCTCTACAATTCATATTTTCTACTTGAGAAAGATACAATTATGCTCAAATAGTTATTTTAGCTATATAAACTATATATCACGAGGCATACAAATATATTACTGAAATTCTTAGCTTGTGGTCTACAGAAATTTAAAACTATATATTTGAGGGATGCACTGGCATTTACCAGTAACTGTTTATCATCAATTAAATTTTCTATCAAAGGATGAATCGTATGCAATTTAAAAAATTTGGTCTATGTAAGTTAGAGTAGTATTATTTAAGTCATATGAAACCCGGAAAATGAAACTCATAAGCTTAATCATCTAACCAATTTTTGCTTCCAGTTTCACCGTTGTGAGGGTAAAAAACAGTACAAATACAAAGACCTTATCTATAACAATAGTAAACGCTAAAAAAAAAATGCATTAATTCTATTTCAATATTTCCAGACATCATGTGCTTATTCACTGCTCAGTTTGAAATACCCATATTATTAAGTTCCCAACCACTGCTATATTTTAAAATTTTTTGAGGACTGGAGAACCAGAGGTCTATAAGGGAAATCACTCAGTAGAGAATTTGTGCATAGCCTCACTATTGCCACTCTGCCAAAATAGAAAATGCCATATAAAAAGTGTTTGTATACTCACCTTCTTGAGTGAAAGCTGGTTTTATGAGTCGAGTACATATGACAGTGGCAAAACTGATGTGATGCAAGTGAAATGTGTTCTTTCCTCTCAGGAAAACTCAGGGGTGCATGCAATGTTCATTGCACTGTTATTTGACACACCAGGTACTTTTCCAAAGTAATTTTTATATAGACATATATGTGCATGCACGTACACACATTTTAAATAAATGTACTGCAAAAATAGAGTTACTGAAGAATGTAAAAAAAATATTAAGCATTTGGGGGGGCAGAGTGAGTCCTCTGGAATACTTTTTAGTGCACTGACACCACTAAAATACAAAATTATTTTTGATATTGATAACCATTACAAACATATTTTTTAAGAAAAACTCAGACCTCTTTCTTTAACTTAAAAATAGTTTCACTAATGACCAGAACTACCAAACTTGTGATATATTACCAAGTAATTAGCATTGAATCAAACTGGTATATAAAGTTTTATAGTATTTATTGTTTTCTGTTCAAAGTCTCAAAGTAAATTCAGTCACTAAATTGTGAATACATTTGGAAGAAGTTTAAAATATTTTTTCAGGTAGATATTCATGCACAAAATACGGAGAAATGCTTTAAAGTTGTATTACTCTATATTGTCATGAGACACTTTAAAATAATTTTATCATTTCCTACCATGTAATTGTATGCTTTTAAATTTACACTAAGTAAATTATGACAAGTACAAACAGGCATGACTGAAAAAAGAGTTATGGAAAAGCACTTATCAAAATAAATACATTAAAAGGGTAAGGCCCATTTCTAAAATTATCCTAATATTCTTAGGCATAAAGTGTAACTTTTGATGTGTTCATAAAGTATTTAATAGAAAGGAAACACACAACGTGACTCAAGAAAAATAGTGTTTGTGAGCATTTCAGGCTTGAAATAGCAAAGCAAAGCAAATCAGAGGAAATATAAAAAGATCAAGGAAGACAGATGTGTGAATCCTCGTTCAGTGCCTGAAACCACCTAATGTTCTCAAAGATTTCCCAAAGAATCAATTCACAAAAGTTTCTCTACGGAGAATTTTTGCCTTGGGAACTTGACAGGTTTCAGGAATGTCCCATACTGTATCAGCAGTTATGTTTTTGGTTCTAATTAGTGTCTAACAAATTCCAGTTGTATGTTCATCAATATTTTAACTCTTCCTGTAATCTACTATAATTCCAACTGAAGCAAAATCAGGATGGCCATCCTGTCACTCTCCAATATGCAGGGCAACACAAGAGAGATTTCGGGGATGCTGACTGTGGAAAAAGAACAAACCAAAGAGAGGTGGAAGGGGTCAAAAGACTCATTCTCAGCCTCAAAAATGCCCGAGCAGGCCACTGCACTTCATTACCGGGACAGCAGCCTCATCAACTGAACATTCCTAAAAGACCTAGCTCCCTAGGGGCTTTGTTCCCTAAGAACAAGTCCCATCAAATGTAACTACAACAAAACACATAGCTTCACACATAGGCTCTGGAGTATCACAGGCACATACACTCTTGACTTTACCTGTTTTTATGCCGAGTCTTCAGCAAGTTTCTTCCAAAAGGAGCCATGGTCCTCCAGGCAAGCCAGAGAGCAGCCCCAGATCCGATCCCAAAGTTATTTGGGGGTGAGAGTGGGGATATCTGGATTTCCAGGAGGACTAGAGTAGGACTGGAAGCTTCCTTTTCGCCTCTTGGGATGTTCGTGGCTCTCAGCTCATTAGTAGCCAGCAAGGAGAGTTGCTTGAAGTTGTGCAACTGCTGCTTAACTTTGAACTGCGGGATTGTTGTGGCTGCTGCACCTTTGGAGACCTGCCCAGCTCCAGCCTCGAAGAAGGCGTTTGGAAGCAGGAAAAGAAAAAAGAGAGAGAGAGAGAGAGAGAGAGAGAGAGAGAGGAAGGGAGGGGGACTCTATTGTGTTCTGTAGTTATTTGCAGACTTGCTAAACTTTAAGAACTGCCAACCCCACAGGCATGGTAATACCCAAGGAATGGGAATTTCACTCGATTTGGAAACCCCCCTCCCCACCTCCCTGCTTTCCACACCCAACCACACAAAGTGAACTAAACACACATAAAAGGTTTAAAAGTAAATACCCCCATCTCCCAGCCAGCTTCAGTCTGAGAAAAGTAATCTGATCATGGCAAACGGGAGTGAGGGCCAAGGACTCTGCTGAACTATTACACACACACACACACACACACACACACACATCCCCTGCCCGGGGTATCAGTGCTTTGCTGAACTATTACACACACACACACACACACACACACATCCCCTGCCCGGGGTATGAGTGCTTCAAAATACCTCGAGGAAAAGCGAAGCTGGACACAGGCTCCAGGTGGGCTCACACACAGCTTGGAAATGTGAGGCCCCCACCCCCACCCCGAGTTCAGGAGCCGGAGATCTTACACCTCCGCACGTTTCAAGTTCATCTTCCAAAAGTTGAAGGACCTGAAGGACCAAAGGACTCCAGGGCTGACCGAGCAGATGGACTGAGAAACCGGCTTCGATTCCCGCGACGTTTACTCCCTCCCACCCCTGCCGGCTCCGGGGCTTTTGCAGGGCCTTTGGCCCATCAGCATATGAAAGACAAGTGAATTGTTTGCTCCCTCCCACCAGCTAGAAAAGTGAGACCGGACGTGCTAGGAGGACCTGAGCACTCCCAAGGGTGCGGTGGAGGCCGAGGGGCAACCCAGGGGCCCACGGGACCTCGAACTCGCGACCCATATAGGGGCGAGTGGACCGGGTGGGCGGGGTTGGGAGGGGGATACCGAAGCAGCCTGGACCGGGCTGCCCTGGGTGCCCCACGCCTTGGGAAAGCTCTGGCTGGGCTCAAGGGAAGGCAGAATTTCTAGGATTTCGCCACCATCAACTCACCTCCAGCCTGTTCCCATTCCCCATCCACACCCACACCCCCACCTCCGCCCCCGCCCAACTTCTAAGGGTTGATCTCCAAGCAGAGGAAGGGAGGGGAGAAAAGAAAGTAAAGGACTGGTTAACTCTGAATCATACTTCAGGCCAGAGAATCTCTAGGCCTAAGAACATGCTTGGCTTACACTTTCTCCAACAACAGTAAACATAAAAAGTGATCTCAAAGGTCTATAGATTTCCTATACATACTGACATGTGTATAATTCTACAGAACAAAACGAAATCATTTTCCAGAATTTACTATAACACTTATCTAGTACTCTATATTATATATGTATGTATATGTACACCCCAAATCATTATGAAGTAGAAAACATTACAGTACCCAATTTTTAGTTACTTTTTTTTCTATTCTTGGGAAATAGGATAATTTTTAAAAGTTCACCTATTTTTTAAAAAATAATCTTACGGTCAACATGTCTGTGTCACCGGAAAAATATTAAAATACCAAAAGTAGTAAAAACCTATTTTGTTTTGCGCACACGTGTGTGTGTGTATATATATGTATACACACACATCTGTGCACACATATATAATATATGTATGAACACATACACACTTTACATGCAACATAAATACATAATCTCTGGTATGCTTCAGTTTTGATTCTTGTTAATTTTACAAGCACATCACAAAAAATGATTTAAACTATTATGGAAGATTGCCCAGTATTCTAAGATGTTTAAAATATAATTCCCTAAAGCTATACTGTTTAGTTATTAATAGAGTGACTGCAGTTAATTTGCAAAAGAATTTTGCATTTGCAATTTTCCATATGTTCCTGCAGTTTCGGTTCCACCCTTATTAACATTAGTTGTATGTGTAGTTTTCATATAAAACATTTTTCAATAAAAATGTTTAATGGAAAAAGAGGAAACAACACCACATCTTTATTAGCATAATCTCATGTTGAGATTCAAGTTAGCATAAATGAGTCCCATTTAGGATGTTATTATTCCTCATATAAAATGTCTTATTAATACTATTTATGACAGGCTCTTTGATGTGTAAGACTTAAAAACAAAGGGTTAATGTCTCTCAGGTATTAAAAGCTCAAAGGAATAAAAAACATGGACACAGATGCATAAATAGAAAAATAAGCAAATAATTTTAAAAGAAAATTACAGAACCATGTTGGAAAAATCAACTTGACTAGTAACCAGATAGTATGTAGGTAAATAGAAATGAGATTTTATTTTGTATCTATCCACTTGCCTGATTTTAAAGTGGTGATTCTCAACTCTGTCATTTTAATGTTCAGAGTATATACTATACATGAGTAGTAGTAGTATAGAGTCACATGTGCTTTTTAGAAGTGAATTTGCCTACATATGTAAATAAACTTCAAAATTTTCTAAATATTCTATCTAAAATTACTCTTTTAAGAATATTTCCCAACTAAATAAGGAGTTTCATAAAAAACAGCTTTATATGCATTGCTGCTCTTTTGAGAACTAGATGAAATACACATGCAAAGTGCTGACACATAGTATAAACAAAATACCATTTTTTTACAGAGTAGAGAGTAGTAAGAAAACTTATCTCAATGTGAAAATAAGAGGAGTTACTGCTTGTCTTTTGTCCTTTGATAATATAATGAACATGGAATATTGTCTTATGAGAGAAAATGATTATTCCTCCCAAGATTTCCAATTCTTTGGAAATAAGCATTTTTTGGACTTAACTATTTACTGTTGATTAGACACATACCTTATAAAAGTACATATTAAATTCTAAAATAGATGGATAAGTTGTGAGTGATTTTTACCTAGTAGAGAAATTACCCAAAATATTATGTTTTTTATTATCCTGTGGGACATCAAGCAAGTTTACGTCTAATACTTTTATTTCCATATTTTTTCTTTAATTTACTATTTATAGCAGTAGTCTCTCCTGTCTTATTTTGGGCCATTTTGATAATTCTATAGGAACCCTTCATTAATGAGTTAAGTTCATCTTTGACCTTTGCCCATTATTTATTTATATTTCAGTTTTTGAAAAGTACACTTGGAAAAACTCAATCCTTTTCTGAACCAAGAAGTCTTCATAGAAGAAACCGAGTTACTTTATCTTTGTTAAAAAAAGATGAAGTGTGCAGAAAGAATTTTGATTGTATAAAATATCTTTCTACATATCTCAGAATGTGAAGCGCAGCCAAAATAGTTAGAAAATATATATTAATGTTATCAATATGTGAGGAATGAATATGAGAGATGGTACATTGTCCTTTATAATTGAAGAATGAATTAATTTATTCCTCAATGAAGATTAGTCAATCTGTGATTCAGTTGATATGAAAAGCTATACAGTATTAAGCCACGTAGTCTGATAGAAAAACTTATTTTTGAAAGAGGTTTAACAAAATATTGTGGCAAGTCTTGGTCTAGTTCATTTGAAAAGCATAGATACAGCATCTTTCCATAGTAGAAATCTTAATTCCCTTACTTTTTTTTTTAAAGATTTATTTATTTTTATACAAGAGCTGGTCCAGGTCAGAGGTAAGGGAGGGTGAGAGGATTCACCAGAGATAGAGCAGGGAGCAGAATGGGCAGACTGACGAAATACACTGCTGAGGGGAGCAGCGGGAGTGACAGGAGAGGTCTGCAACGCCAGGTGGGTAGCTCCCTGGCCAGCCTGGAATCAAACCTATGCTGCTGGCCGGGAATCGAACCGGCACTGCAGAGGCTGCAGACAGCTTCACAGCGCTGCACTCAACCCCCCGTGCCACTGGGGAGGCCCTTAATTCCCTTTTAACTGAATTTCAAAATTATTTGCTCACAGAAAAGGTAGAGATTTCAAAACAAATCTTGCCAGAAACCTCTAACCATTTACATCAATATATTTATTATCTTTCTCCTCTAATACATTATAAAATTAATCTTTCTAAAATACTACTCTCACGCCTAGACAAATCCTTTTTAGGCACTAATACAATTCAGGTCAAGTTACAACCCGACATTAAGACTCTTCATTATGCGAGCCTTTCTAACAATTATCTTTAGCACATAAGACTTCACTAAATGGGTGGTAGGTATAATATCCTTTAGGGATTAAGTGCATGACTTTTAAAGTGACATAGGCCTAGCTCTGCCACTTCCTAGTAGATATCTTGAGCAAATTACTTATCTGAGTCTGTTTCGTGACCTGTAAAATGAAGAAAATGATAATAGTGCATTCTCATTTTCCACTAAATGGAAGTTCAAGAGAATATTTTTCTTTTTAAAAAATATTGCGTTGTATTTTTATTACTATAAAATAATTCTCTTCCTTTTAATGATTACATTGGCTTACTGGTTTAATCACATGAATTTGTGCTGCTAAGAACTAGTTTTTCCCCAGGGCCTACATAAAAAGAAGAACTGAAGTTCTAGATCTTGGATTATACATAGATACTTGACTCTGAGCCAATATGTTACCATTTAAATGGTTATCAGTGAGGAAATAGCATAATGTACAGCTTGCTCCAGTCAATCAGTTTATCTAATTTATTCAAAGTCCCATTCTCAGCTAAGGAAAAAAATCATAAAAATAAAATGTTTTGTTAGACTAACAGAATTCAGAAATAAAGAACATTGGTCAAAGGGTCAAAGGGTGAGATTGGAACTTGAAAATCTTTAGACAATCAAGATGTGGCAAAAGGTAACCATGTGTCGCAAAAGGTCGGAGCACCAGTCCCCCAAAAAATAGTCATTAAACTTAATTCAAATGCTACTTCTACTAATATTGTTACCACTTTTTCTAATTCTACAACTAGTGCTACTACAATGTGTATCTTCTCAAGTTCTTTCCTGTCTTAAGTTTGCTCATGGCAATAAAAATCATATTAAAAAGTTGGATTGGGGCTTCCCTGGTGGTGCAAGGGTTAAGATGCAGCCTGTGAAGCAATCAGCAGCCTCTGCAGCATGAGTTTGATTCCCTGGCTGACCAGGGAGCAGCCCATATGGCGTAGCAGACCTCTCCTGACTCTCCCGCTGCTCCCCTCAGCAGTGTACTTCGGTCAATCTGCCTCTTCTGTTCCCCACTCTGTCTCTGGTGAATCCTCTCATCCCCCACACCTCTGGCCTGCACCCCAGCTCTTGTATGCATAAATAAATAAATCTTTAAAAAAAAAAATAGTTGGATTAGAAGTGATTTTGCTTACAGACTCTTTTAAATAAAAGATGTACAATTCCTGGACTGTGAAACAACCTCTGTAAGAGGTCTCAAGCACAAAAAGAAATAACTATCTTAAGCAGCTTAGGTATAGTTCAGAAGTAAAGATTTAGTTTAGGAGTCTAAGGTTGTAATGTTCTTTTGATTCTCAAAAAAAGTTTTGAATGGCACTCCTAAGCTTTTGTAGTACTTATATAATCACGTGTCTAATTAGTCATCTGGCTTCAAAAGGCAGTTCCAAGCTTTTAATTAATTAAATTCACTATTTAAATAGCTGACTGGTTAGGTGTTGGCCAGATACCTGTGTCCTAAATAAAAGACCAAATTTCTTCACTTAGTAGCCATGGCTTTTATTAGCTTTAATGAGATAAAGTGGCAAATCCATATGAGTGGCTACTATTAGACATTGCTCAACTTCAAAGAAAG